AAGAAGCGTTGAATCAAAAGAGATCAACACAGGTTGGAAAGAAAAAAAAGAAAGAAAGAAAGAAAGAAAGAAAGAGGCGATAAAAATGTGAACAATATAATAAATTATAAATGAAAGAAAACAAAGACGTCTTAGAATGAATAAAAGAAATATGCACTAAAATGTCAAATAAATAAAAATGAAAAATAGGAAAAAGAAAGACAAAAAAATGTGATGAAATGAGAAGAAAGAAAGAAAGAAAGAAATTTAAATGAATCCAAATGAGAAAAAAGAAAGAGAAAAGAAAGACGTGATAAAACGAGAAAAGAAAGAAAAACAAATTTAAATAAATCCGAATGAAAAATGAGAAAAAAAGAAAAACAACAGAAAGACGTAATAAAACGAGAAAATAAAGAAAGAAAAATGTAAGGAAGAGGGAAAGAAACAAATAATAAATGTCAAATAAACCCGAATGAAAGAAAGAAGGAAAAAAAAAAGAACGAAAAAGGAAAGAAAGAATGAAAAAAGGAAGAAAGAAAGAATGGAGTTAACAAGAATGGAGTTTGTTAACAAAAAAGGGGGAAAATCCCTGAATACGAGATTGCTGTTTTTAGAAAAAATCCCTCCTCTTTTTTTATGAATGACCGTTCACAGTGGCAGAAATAACATTGCCAAAGGCACAAATGCCTTAATAAACATGCGGGGAGACACGTGCGTTGGTGGATGAATCAGGCAACAAAAAAAAAAAAAAAAAAAAATAACACGTGGAATCATCCAGCAACATGTTGGAGTCAAGGGTGAGGTATAAGTGACGTATACTTAAATCTCTTTCCCACCTCTCTCTCTCTTTCTCTCTCTCTCTCTCTCCTCCCTCTCTCACCCACTCACTCGCTATCTATCTCTCGCGCGCTCTTTCCTTCTCTCTCCCCTCTCTATGAGCCACATTCTTTAAGACTAAAAAGAAGAAAAAGAAAAATATCTTTATTGTTAGTTTCCGTTGTTGGGATGAAAGAAAATAATTATATAAATTCAGTAGGCTCGATTTTCTTCAAGAAAAATCCCTTCTTCTTCTTCTTCTTCTTCTTCTTCTTCTTCTTCTTCTATATGCCGTGTCCCTTCAGGACGTGGGTGATCATAGCTCTCCGCAATTTCCTGTCCTTTGCAGCTCTTAGTAATAAAGCTTGTCTTTTTTTTTTTTTTGCTATCTCTCCTAATCCCTGTTTTGCCAACCATTTACACAAAAACTCGTTAGGCAGGAGTTATGCCCTGTTTTCTTCTGTCCCGCTTTCCTTCAATATGTCCTGTGAGTGTTAAATTTTCCAAGCCCTCTCTCCTCATTATAAATCTAGAAATTTCAAGTGACTATTTCTGATACTACGTATGTGTCCTTTTTGTCTCCATTTTCTCTAAAACTTGTATTCACGTGTATTCTCAGCATCCTTCTGTAGAACCATATTTCTGTTGCTTCAAATCCCTTCTTTATCTGTGATGATATTGTTCAGCATTCGTATAGGAGGACCGATATACCAACATTTCAGTACTGTTTCTAATGAAATTTTCTTGTTTTCTTAATACTTTGCTTAGCTTCTGGAAGGCATCTTTTACTATCCTAATGCGTCTTCGAATTTCGATGACGCATTTTCTGTCCTCTGTTAAAACACATCCAAGAAGTTTAAAATTGTGTGCTTGTTTCATTTTGGTATCTCCAATCTGTAATTTGCATGTTGGGCTGAAAACCATAAATTTATATCTTTTTACTGTTGATGTTTAGTCTTTTCTTCTCGCTTTCCTTGGTAGGAATTCCTATATTTACCTTTCTGTGTCTGCTATCAACACTGTGACATCGGCATATCTAATATTATTAAGATTACGAGCGCCAATAATGAATCCTCGTAGGATTTCTAATTCTCTCAGGATTGCTTCACTGTAAAGGTTGAAAAAGTCCAGTCAGAAGACCTACTTTTGTTTTACGACACTTTTCTTTGACATATTTACTGAATTCATTTTCTATATTACCACTCTTTCTATTTAGACATATTTACTGAATTCATTTTCTATATTGCTACTCGTTCTATTTTGACATATTTACTGAATTCATTTTCTATATTACCACTCTTTCTATTTAGACATATTTACTGAATTCATTTTCTATATTGCTACTCGTTCTATTTTGACATATTTACTGAATTCATTTTCTATATTACCACTCTTTCTATTTAGACATATTTACTGAATTCATTTTCTATACGCATGCAGGCAGTTTGCTCCCTGTATGCGTTCTCTATTATAAGTGAAGGTAGTTTAAAAAAACGCGGTGTCAAGGAGAAAACCATCCGTTTAACACTACGTCTTATTGTCGACACGTTTATCCATTTTAGTCGAAAAAGAAATTTTATGAACAAGTCAAATAATGAGAATATATAGTTCTCAACAGATGAATCATTTGCAGTTTCATGAAAACTTCTAACGTCATTTTGACACGGTTTGTTCTTTTTTGTTTTATGGCTTATCAACACCTCAATGGCTTATTTAATGCCGACAAAATTTTTATTGCTGGTAATACTTTTTTTTTCTAAAAATGTATTGCTCGTAATATTTTTTTCTTCAAAAATATATTTCAGGTAATATTTTTTCTTCAAAAATCTTTTTCTTGTAATATTTTTTCCTTCAGAAATCTATTACTGGTAATATTTTTTTCGAAAATATATGTAGCTGGTAATATTTTTTTTTCCAAAGACGTATAGCTGGTAATTTTTTTTTTTCTGAAATGTATTGCTGATAATATTTTTTAAATGTATTGCTGGTAATAATTTTTTGCCTTCAAAAAATTATTGCTGGTAATAACTTTTTTACAAAGTATTTCTGGTATTAATACCTATTTTTACACTTTCATAGTGTTTTGGCCACAGTTAGGGGGCTTAACTCTTTGCCCATAGTTTGGAGACCTAATAGGTGCTACCACTTCGGGTTTGAGTGAACCTGGGAACACCAGCAATTCAAAACCTCCTGAACAGAGGCATTGCTGCCGGATGTAGTTTATCGTCTTACCCCGGACGCGCATTTTGACACGTTTCAAATGTTATCGAACCTGCCTCTTCTTTAATTCAGTTCTGTTTAATTTTAGATTGTTTCGGTTTTTCTAATATAAACAATTTTCACATTATGAACTCAAACAAAAAAGAGGTGTGATATCAAGGGAAATTGTTGCCTTCCTTCGTGGGGAAGAAGCTTGCGTGTCACAATGGGAGTCAGGATCTTACTTTTTGGTAAGGCAACCCAAAGCGGCAAGGTGGAGCGTCAGAGACCAGACAAAGAATGATCCACCCTCTAAGACCTAAACGGTGGACCAGATACAAGTTATCAAACCCAACGGCTGTGAAGGCAAATGAAGTCTGCGACAAAATCTTTCAACACTAATTGTTTTGGTGTCCTTGTCATTGGATCCAGTTGATCCATTTGTAAAGAATTGTTTGTTTCCTGGAGGGCAACATCAAGTACAAGTTAAAGAAACACACGCACGGGCGTGTCTTGTTCTATACACCAACACAAAGATCTTGTGGTGATCGGTGAAGGGCGACAGAAGTAGGCAAGAGATAACTGAAAGCTCTTAATGAAATGGCGAATATTTGATTCAGTGGCTTAGCTTTTGGACTGGAGCAGGCAAGTCGTTTGGCAGCGATATTCATGACTGAACAATCCTATTTAGGATTACCTCTACCCAACCTCAAATGGGGGCGAGGGGTGAAGGCTAGAAAATGTGCCCTAAAATACTCTGCTTCACCTACAGCCATTTGAAAAACCGCGTCCAGAGATTTCAACATTATGCGGTTGAAAAACCTAAAGAATCAATACCATGAAATTTGGTGCACAGAACATTAGAATTATAATCAATAATCCTAACTCAGAGTGACCAGAAAGAAGCTGTCCTGGGTATGACGATAAACTACATCCACGTCCTGGTTAAGACGATAAACTATATCCGCCTCCTGGGTAAGACGATAAACTACATCGTACGGCGAGGCCTCTCATCAGGAGGAGCATGGAACCATCTATTAACTGCTGGTGCACCCAGGTCCACCCTGACCTGGAGTGGTAGCACCTGTCAGGGTCCCTTCCATAGGCAAATAGTTAACCCCCCCACACACACACACAAAAAGGCGTGAAAATACTATGAAAGTATAAAAATAGGTTTTAATACCAGCAATACGTTTTGGGGAAAAAAATTGCCAGCAATACATTTTTGGGAAAAAAATATTACCAGCAATAAAATTCTTGTCAGAATTAAATAACCCACTGAGATTGATATGCCATAAAACAAAACAAACCAAACCAGAAAGAAGACCATCTTTTGTTGCCAGCAACTGGACAAGTTCAATTTTGATATTGTTGCCTAAAATAGCTGAGTTGTATCAGTAAATCATTATTATATGGAAAAATTTTTACAATCTGAAAATATTCCTTGGTTTTAAATAAGCTACAAACGGCTGATAAGCCCTAAAAAAACAACAAAACAACCAATCAATACAGAACTGTATATGAACTGTATATGATAATTGGCCCATACCTACATATATTCAGTCCTTACTGGATGTTTCAAACCTGTAACACACGAGTTGAATAGTAAACTAATTAGTAAAGAAATAAATGTAATAAAGTAACTTTTCAACTGATCCTGAATTCTCATCAAGCACAATGAAGGATTGTATTCTAAAAGAGAATGTTTTGAACGTCTAGCGGTTCTCAAGTTAACTGCAGACACTTCAGGTGGAACACGAAGTTACAATTGACCGTTAAAGATGTTAGAAAATGGCCGGCTCCTTATATAATTTCAGAAAGTACCTGACAGGTTCTATCGTTGCAAAACCCAGATCAGACCAGAGCTACATTCCTTAGTTCCGCCATTTCAGACCATTACACCTAAGACCTGCCATACCATTTATACAGGGTCAGACCATCGTTATTTACATTCGTGTTCCACTGGTAAGAAGGAAATTCTACTCAGACAGTTTCTTCCCAAAAACATACCACGTTGAAATACCTGTTCCCGTACGACCACCGAAGTTCAGCAACGTCGAGCCTAGAGGGTACTTAGATGGGTGACCACTTGAGAATACCAGGTGCTGTAAGCATGGATGTGTGGGTGGAGTAAGGTATAGTGGCTCGGATTGATAAATCGGAGAGCCAATTTCCTATTCCATTTGAATTCGTTATATTCACTTACACGCAAATACTCTTGGGAAAGGCATGAATCCACCTCTTCTCACCCCCCGATCTATGGGTTAATTAGTAAAACTTGTATCACCAAATCATTATTATCTCCAAAAAAGAAGTTTTTACGATCTAAAAAGTATTTCCTGGCCTTAAATAACCTGCAAAGTATTGATAACCCGTAGAAAACGAATCAATCTAATTTCCATGTTAGAGTTTGTATAAATATATACAACCACACCTCACTTAACGACATGCCTGTTTCAGGATCTTCCGGACTTACGACCGGTTATAAAATCTCAAAATAAAGAAAAAAATATCCAACCAGTCGGTATCATACGTTGTAAAAAAAATATTATTTTTTGTGGAACTCATCTCCAGCTTCTTGCTTTCCCGTCCATTTTGAATTTCTAAAATTTAAATGCAATGTCAATCGTCATTTTCTTTCTTCTTAATTCCTATACTTTTACTGATCTAGTTCCTTAATTGTGTTTTTCCTCATATTTTCTCCTAATCAGTATCCCCTTGCATCATAGTGGCTTTATTGCCTTGATTGGTGGGAAATTATAACAAATTACGTTTATCCACCCCTTCTCTCCTAGCTATGGGTTAATTAGTAAGACTTGTATCACTAAATCATCATTATCTCCAAAAAAAGGAATTTCTTAAAATCTAAATAGTATTTTCTGGCTTTAAATAACCTGCAAAGTATTTTCTGGTTTTAAATAACCGTCGAAGCATTTTCTGGCTTTAAATAACCTACGAAGTATTTTGCGGCTTTAAATAACCTGCAAAGTATTTTCTGACTTGATAACCCGTAGAAAACGAATCAAACAAATTAAAATATTATAAGCCAGTCTTGGGTTTTAATTGATGGAATTGTTTCGAATTGGTTTTTTTAATGACATTTACACGTAGGTATCGTGATAGCTGATAAAAAAAAAGATCTGTGTGCGAAGTGTTTTCTTTTCAGGAAACGAGGTGCTAAAACTGAAAAGCTTTTAACGATGAAACTTTAGGTAAGGTATGAGCAAGAGTCATTCGCGTTTTAGACGTGATGAAATATCACTTATCGAGCAATTATGATTTGACCGACCTTCAACAAGCTAAAATGACAAACATCTTGAAAACGTTCGCCACGTCATCAATCAGACCCACTGATGAGATATTAACGCCAAGAAGGTGCAGCGACTGCGATCCAACGATGAAAGCATGTTGATTTGCTTCTTTGACGTCAATGCAACTATGCACAAATAATAAATACAGGTGTCACATGTCGACAATATACTGAATATGATGTGTTTTAAATTAACTAGTTTCTTTTCTCTGACGTTTTGCAAGCATGACTTTACTGATAAAAAAGAATATAGAATGGACTATGGATAAAATTTTAATTCTTGGGAAGGAAACAACTTTTGATTCTTGGGAGGGTAACAAATTTTGATTCTTGAGAGGGAAACAGCGGCTGAAGTTGTAATGAATGGAGAAGTTTGTTGCCTCTGAGTGTTGACTTCAATGTTCACTTTTATATTTATATTTACATACGCACTATCTCTGATATCCCGTAAATATAGCACAACTTAAAACGATATTTCTTCATATATATATATATATATATATATATATATATAGGTACCTCAGTCTTGCAAAAATCAGATGATTGTTGGATTTTAATGAAACTTTCAGAAAATGAATTAAACATCTCATAAATACACCCCCTCCGATGTTTTAAACCAAAAGTAGTATTTGATACAATTTAGATTAATTAAACTTTAAATCAGTTAATATTCTTCAAATAAAGTTTCAAAAATGTATATTTTATTTTTGAAAGATTTTTTAATAAAAAGATTTATGTTGTGTTGAGATTTGTCAATATGAAAATTTCTCAGAGTTAACCTGTAGAAAAAAAAAAAACAATATTTATAAATATAAATGACTATAGTAGTTGCAGACGCATTTCGTCCAATGTGGACTTTCAACATTCACTTACCATCGCCTGAAGAAGCACAACGTAGTGTCGAAACATGCACGCTATTGTGTAGCAATTTCAGAATGTTTTTGTTGTAATATCTTATAATAAAATAATATATATAATAATATATATAATAATAATATATATATATATATATATATATATATATATATATATATATATATATATATATATATATATATATGCTTCATTGAATAATATACATATATTATGTCTATTTATTTTATATTGATCCTTTCAAGTTCTCTAATCTGATTCTTGATGTTCAGATGAAAGTCATCAAGGAAGGCGACGTAGTTTTTTCCTACCCAAGTACTATCGATCTCCTTCAAGATCATCCACTAGAATAAATGACAAATTTATTGTAACAGTGATCGTTGTGATGCTGATTTTTAAGAAACACGCGTGAATACGCTCTCTTATAATTATTTTAAAATGTTAAATTTATCCATTATAGTTATGGAATTTTTGCAAAACAAGCGTCCCAATATAAGGGAACTGGCCCGAAATTGGTAGAAAAACAAAATCGTATTAAATGTTTGTTATATGCACTTCACAACGTTGCTGCTACATTCGATATAAATTTTGCTGGATGTTGGTTGGTTGATTTTGATATAGGGAGCCTCGAAAACGTTTTGTTTTTGTTTATTATTTTCGTGGTGTAGTGTATTACTGTTGTCAACAACTATTTCCTGCATTGGGAAAGTGGACAAATATATATATATATATATATATATATATATGTGTGTGTGTGTGTGTGTGTGTGTGTGTGTGTGTTTTGTGTGTGTAATTGATATTATCAGTAGTCAATATATATATATATATATATATATATATATATATATATATATATATATGTAAATCTCCAAGAGGATAGAATCTAGGTAGAACTCAATGTCCAGGACAGAGTAAGAATATAATATAAAGGTTCAAACACTAATATTCCATGGTTATAATTCAAATTTTCCGATTTCTTTTTGAATTTCCAAAATTTTCAAATTTTCCGATGTGTTTTTGAATTTGTAGGTCTGATGAATTGGATAGTGATTACGATTCCAATGTAATAAATTATAAACATGGAATATTAGTGTTTGAGCCTATATATATATATATATATATATATATATATATATATATATATTTATATATTTTGGTTGGATAGATGTGAGTTTGTGACCCTGGGTTTCACGCTTTAGCGATCGTCAGTACACTTCACATATATATATATATATATATGAAAAAATATAGAGTTAAGGTTTGCTACATTCATGAGATAAAGTGGTCAATATCAGAGATAGAGCGTTTGTAAATATAAATATAAAAGTGAACATTGAAGTCAACACTCAGAGGCAACAGGCTATTTCATGCTGAAAGCCTGACGATTGCGTCTATCATGAAACAGACTGTCGCCTCTGAGTCTTAACTTCAATGTTCACTTATATATATATATATATATATATATATATATATTTTCTTTTGTATAAACCGTGATAACTTATATAATGGTGTTAGATCAAATAAAAAACGTACAAAATTCTTCGTTTTTTTTTTTATTATTTTTTATTATTGCATTAATTTTAATGACTTTTGCAGCATCTGTAACATTTTAGATTTATTTCTAAATGTTTATACAGTGAAGTAGTGCACTTAACAATAAACGTAATTTTTTTAATCAGTTCACCCCAAGTAAGGTTTTCAAAAACCCACTAAGACGTCAGGGGTTACCGTGTGTGAGATAATATGAGTAAATAAACATTATTAAGAAGAGAGAACAATTAAAGAACATGAATTAAGAAGACAGAATTGAAAGATTGACATTAAATCAAAGTTAACTAGAATACAAGATGCCATTAGAGAGATCCACATGCGATAGCAGAAACTGTTAGCATAGAACTTACGGTTTATTTAGTCATTTCCTCTGTGAAATGTAAGACCACGTCGCCAATCTAGTATCGTACTTAAATTGTCGCTGTGAAAGGGGAAAGCTCCTTAGAACAATTACCCTAAAAATATTTATAGAAAAGGCACAGGGAAGCTACGTTACGTAATAAACAAATTTGAAAGTCAACTTTGTATTCGCTCTATTTACTTTTGTTTGTATCCTATCAAGTTATATTTGTCTTTCACTTTGATTTGTTCCCTTTATTTATTTTGATTCATTTTAATGAAAGAGAAAACAATTCCGATAAAAAATTTTCTTACAACGTACGATAAAGATTGGTTGGATTTTTTTTTTCTTTATTTTGAGATTTTTTATCCGGTCGTTAAATGAGGTGTGGTTGTATATATTTATACAAACTCTAACATGGCAATTACATTGATTTGATTGATTGATTCGTTTTCAACGGCTTATCCTTTGTAGGTTATTTATAGTTAGATAATACTTTTTAGATTGTAATCATTGGGTTCTCCTGCAAAGTGGGATGCAGGTTCGAATCTTGTCGGAGAACATATTTTCTTTACTAAATTTTCTCGACTGCGCAAGCCGGTGGACGAAATAAGTACAATATTTGTCTATATTTCTGAGTATTGTAATTATTTACTTTGTTTTGACTGTTGTCCTCATCTTTATTGCAATATTCACAACGTTTCGGGCGTTGTATGCTCCAGCTTTCTTCGGGTGAAATAAACAGTTTTCAAAAATCGGAACATCTACTTAAATACTAGTAACTACTAAAAATAACGTTTGATGTAATAAAAGTACACACACACACACAAACACACTCACACTCACTCTCTCTCTCTCTCTCACACACACACACACACATATATATATATATATATATATATATATATATATATATATGAATTACTTAAAAATGGATCTCTATTATCCCATTCAGATGATTATTTCTCAACCAGGATATTCTCCCCTGGGTGGGGATTGTCAATACAAAAAACTTTAATAAAAATGAATTTTAATAAA